CTGTCAAATAGAGATAATAATATTTGCCTTCCCTGCTTATCTAATAAAACCAAATAAGGGCAGATAAAAGTATTTTGCCAACTCTAAAGTGATGTCAATATTAAGATGGTGTTATTACTGACTTACCTTACTGAAGCTATAGTTTACTACAGTCCATTCTAGTCAATGGAGGTCAAAGTAGGTTGTACTTATAATTGTATCAGTCATAGATTTCAGTCATAGATTACTTGGTAGCATAGACAACTTGGTTACTTTTTAATTACTTCCTATCTCGCCAAAATAAAAAAGGCATTAAATCCATTTAGTACAATTAAATCTCTAGCCAATAGACAAACACTGCTAATAGTCTAGCAGTATCTCATAAAAAAATTGCAATTAAAGACAATTAAAATTATTTTTAAAAGGTGCAAAATGTGTTTGCATAGCTGCATGACAGTTCATTAAATCTTCCAGTACAAAAGGTAAGCTGTGTGAGTAATAAAGGCTCACATTAAAGTAGCCTGTAAGGAAAGAGTAGACCAAAAATTAAATTGAAGAATATGTTTGATTTATTTTCTTTGCATGTTTCTCTCTTGTTTTTATTCTTATGGTAGTCTTTCTGTCCTTTCAGCTAATGATGCTGGCTACTTTAATAATGAAATGGTGCCCATTGAAGTGAAGACAAGGAAAGGGAAACAGACAATGCAAGTAGATGAGCATGCTCGGCCCGAAACAACACTGGAACAATTACAAAAACTTCCTCCAGTATTCAAGAAAGATGGAACCGTCACTGCAGGGAATGCATCGGTTGGTCTCCCTACACAGATTAGCTTGAGGTCTGCCTGATGTGTTCAATGCAAAATAATCATGAAGTATCTCGTAGATATTTTTCATGCTAGTCTTTAGTTATTTAGCTTAAACTATTAATAGTAGTGTTCATATTCAATTAATTTGAGTTTTCATAGTCCAACACAAAATATTTTAACTAGGGGCCCTTATATAATACTATTCTGATTTCTTAGTTTTTTCAGAATGTTGGAAGGAAATCTACCTGGTTTATTGTTTTGGTTGTTATACTTTTTCTCTTTCTCTTGTATACAAGTCATTAGATTTCTTCTTACTCACATCTAGATATAAGTTTTTGTTTGACATTCTTTTCTGTTTTCCATTAGTGAAATTGTATTCTGTGCCTAAAACAATCCTCTGAATCCACCAGAGTAGCACTAGTACTAGTTGTTTCCCAAATTATGCCATGGCTTCCTATGCCATATTCCTAATACCATTCCATTAGTAATACTACTCCATTATTCCGAACCCTGATTAACTGGATTCTTTTACCCTTTAGTTAATCTACTGTTTTCGTTTTCAAGGGGATATGTGATGGTGCTGCAGCTGTTATCATAGCTAGTGAAGATGCTGTTAAAAAACATAACTTCACACCACTGGCAAGAATTGTGGGCTACCATGTGTCTGGATGTGATCCCTCTATCATGGGTATTGGTAAGTGTGTAGTGAAACCAATGGGTTCTATTATATTTCTGGAGATAAGTCTACTTTGGCATTCAGAGTCCTGAAAACGTAGCCAAATCAAGGTCACTTGTGGAGAAAATGTAAGATTGGTAATCAGTCATTTATACAAATAATCTGTGTGAAGAACTGTCCTTGATTAGGAAAACCAAGACGGTGTAGACTCCTTGTGAGCAGTAATCACATCTAATTGTCCATTTGAGATATTTAAAAATTAACACACAGAAAATAACAGAGAAGAATTACATTATCCTTACAAGATAAAAGAAATTATGAGATGGGAGAATTCACGGGGTGAAATAGAGTAGGCTGTATGGAGAAAGCGTAAACCCAGCTCCCTGCTGGGTGTTTTACACACAGTCACTAACATACCTCATTCCGTCTTCCTACAACTCCAGTAATTGAGACTTCTTTGTGAACGAGAAAATTGAGGCTTAGGAAAGCTGTCGTGAAAGGTTCCAAACCAGTTAGTGATGGAGCCAGGATGTGAATCCAGGTCTCTAATTCAAGTGATGTTTTCACTGTGAGTTAAATGTATTGTCTCAGGAAGTCAAAGTCATATTCCTTTGGCTCAGCTGAGGCTTATTAGCAAAATAAAGAATTATAAGCAATTATCTAGATTGGCAAAGTACTAGGTAAAGAAAATTTGGACCTCCCTACAAACATGTGTAGTCTTGGCTTGAAAAATATGAATTAGAACCAAGAGCTTTTCACTGGATGCACTCCTAGGAACCACAAATGATGCTGAATTTGAATAGTTCCTATCATTAATCTTTGGGGAAACAGGGAACCAATTAGGTGTCTTACTTACAGAAATAAAATTGGTGCTCAGAGGCTTTGATCTATCCCACCTATAACCTCACACCCTAGGAAAAAGCCTGCCCTAGGGTATTGGTGTCAGATTATTTATAGGACCAAAGATTTTTCTATCAGCTTAGG